TTTCAAATTAATTGGAAAATAAAAGTTACATTCTTGTTTCTTTTATTTTTACAGAATTTAATTCTGTTAATTTGGTTTAATTTTCTGTGTAGTGTAAATTCTAATTATAATTTTGTTTTATAAATTAGAATTGATGGCTACTGAAACTAATGCCCAAACAAGTACTACTGTGGTGGCTGCAATGACGCCAACCCCCTCTCCTGTTGTAATAGTACCGGTAAATCATGGTGAAAAGCCAAAGAAGTTCTCAGGAACTGACTTTAAAAGATGGCAAGAGAAAATGTTGTTCTATCTTAGAACTCTAAACCTGGCTCGTTTCCTCCGTGAATATGCTCCTATCTTGAAAGAGGATGAAACCGATCGGCAAGTGGTTGTTGCGGTTGATGCCTGGAAATATGCCAATTTCCTTTGCCGGAACTACATCTTGAACGGACTTGACAACACATTATACAACGTCTACAGTCCTATCAAGACAGCAAAGGAACTTTGGGAGTGTTTGGAGAAAAAATACAAAATGGAAGATGCCGGCTCAAAGAAATTTGTGGTTGGCAGATTCCTGGATTTTCTAATAGTTGATTCAAAAACTGTGATCAGCCAAGTTCAAGATTTCCAACTCATTCTGCATGACATTCACGCAGAAGGTATGTCTCTCAGTGAATCCTTCCAAGTTGCAGCCTTAATTAAAAAATTACCAAAAGACTGGAAGGAATTCAAGAACTACCTCAAACACAAGCGCAAAGAAATTTCTATGGAAGAATTAATTGTGCGCTTGAGGATTGAGGAAGACAACCACAATTCTGAAAGCGGGCAGGTAAGCATCCTATGGAGTCTAAGGCAAATGTGGTGGAACATACTTCAAAAACCAAGAAACGAAAGTCTTCTGGAGAATGTTCATCACAAGGCTCTAAAAGGGGGAAAAAATAAAAAGTACAAGTTTAATGGCAAATGTTACATCTGTGACAAAGAGGGACATTGGGCGAAATATTGCCGTAGCAAAGGCAAAAGTAAAAGAAAAACAAGCAAAACGCCTACTCAAGCCCATATGACCGAAGTGGACAAAATTTCTAATGGTGTAGATGACATCAATCTTTCTGTAGTTGTTTCCAAGGAAAATCTTGTCAGAAATCCTAAAAAATGGTGGGTGGACACTGGTGCTACTCGCCATATTTGTGCCGACAAAAAGATATTCACATCTTATTCTACAGTGGACAATGGTGAACAACTTTTTATGGGAAACTCCTCAACTTTCAAAGTTGAAGGACAAGGAAATATTGTACTCAAGATGACATCAGAAAAGGAACTCACTCTCAACAATGAGCTGCATGTACCGAATATTCGCAAGAATCTTGTTTATGGATCTCTGTTGAGTAAGAATGGGTTTAGACTAGTATTTAAGAGTGATAAATTCGTACTTACTAAGAATGTGATGTATGTAGGAAAAGGTTGCATGTCTGATGGCCTTTTCAAGTTAAATGTAATGACCGTTGTACTCTCAATTGTTAATAATAATATATCTTCTTCTTACTTACTTGAGTCTTCAAATTTATGGCATGGTAAACTAAGACATGTTAATTATGGATCTTTACGTAAATTAATTAATATGGAATGTTTACCTAAATTTGACATTGATTCAAATCATAAATATGAAATTTATGTTGAGGCAAAATTATCTAAAACTCTTTTTCATTCAATTGAAAGAAGTACGGAACCACTAGAATTAATTCATAGTGACATTTGTGATTTTAAATCAATTCAAACCAGAGCTGGAAAAAAGTATGTTATCACTTTTATAGATGACTATACAAGATATAGTTATGTTTATTTAATTCGAACCAAGGATGAAGCTTTGAAAACTTTCATTCAATATAAGAATGAAGTTGAAAATCAACTTGGTAAGAAAATCAAGAAACTTAGAAGTGATAGAGGTGGTGAATATGAATCACCTTTTGGTGAATTTTGTAAAGAACATGGAATAATTCATCAAACCACCGCTCCTTACTCATCTCAGCAAAATGGAATTGCTGAAAGGAAAAATAGGACTTTAAAGGAAATGATGAATGCCATGTTAATCAGTTCTGGATTACCTCAGAACTTGTGGGGGGAAGCAATACTTTCTGCTAATTATATTTTAAATAAAGTACCCCGAAAGAAAGTGAATCAAACACCTTATGAAATGTGGCATGGTAGAATACCATCCTACAAATATTTAAAAGTGTGGGGGTGTTTGGCTAAAGTGGCTATTCCTAATTCTAAAAAGACTAAGATAGGTCCTAAGACCATTGATTGCATTTTCATTTGTTATGCTAAGAATAGTAGTGCATATCGGTTTTTGATTCATAAATCAGAACATACCGAAATGCATGTAAATACTATTATTAAGTCTCGGAATGCATCATTCTTTGAACATGTATTTCCAAATAAGACTGGACAAGATACAAGGAACAATAAAAGATCTCATGATGCCATTACTAGTCAAGATCAAGAACATGATCAAGAACAAGAGCAAGAGTTAGACCAAAATGAGGAAGAGGAACGTAGGCGTAGTAAACGTGCTAGAACCTCAAAATCTTTTGGTCTAGATTTTCTAACATTTTTGTTAGAAAATGAGCCTTTAACTTTTAAAGAGGCTATGTCCAGTCCCAAAGCTCCTTTATGGAAAGAAACTGTCAACAGTGAAGTTGAATCCGTCTTGCAAAATCACACTTGGGAATTAATGGACTTGCCACCAGGTTGTAAACCTCTTGGGTACAAGTGGATTTTCAAAAAGAAAATGAAAGCGAATGGATCAATTGACAAATACAATGCAAGACTTGTGGTCAAAGGTTTTAGACAAAAAAAAGGTCTTGATTACTTTGACACATACTTACTGGTTACTAGAATAACATCTATTAGAATGCTAATTGCGATTGCTTCGCTATACAATCTAGAAATTCATCAAATGGATGTGAAAACCGCTTTCTTAAATGGTGAGTTAAATGAAAAAATTTATATAGAACAACCAGAAGGTTTTTCTGTTCCAGGAAAAGAAAAGAAAGTGTGTAAATTGGTTAAATCATTATATGGTTTAAAACAAGCGCCAAAGCAATGGCATGAGAAATTTGACAAGGTAATGATATCAAATGGATTTAAAATTAATGAGTGTGACAAATGTATTTATATTAAAAACACAGACAAAGGTTATGTCATTGTATGTCTTTATATAGATGATATGCTCATCATAGGTAGTAATAATGACATGATTAAAACTACCAAGAAAATATTGAATAAACATTTTGACATGAAAGACATAGGCATTGCTGATGTAATTCTTGGTATGAAAATTACCAAAACATTAAAAGGATATGCTATGTCACAATCTCATTACATTAAGAAAATATTTGACAAATTCAGCAAAGATGATGATCATCTTGCTAGAACTCCTGCAGATGTTAATTTGTATCTTTCTAAGAATGTACAGGAAAGTATTTCTCAATTAGAGTATGCCCAAATTATTGGAAGCTTAATGTACTTGATGAACTGCATTCGCCCAGATATAGCTTATGCAGTAAGTAAATTAAGTAGATATACGAGTAATCCGAGAGTAGAACACTAGAAAACAATTATAAGGGTTCTAAGATATCTCCGATTTACTCGTAACATTGGGCTTAATTATACTAGATATCCAGCAGTACTTGAAGGATATTGTGATGCAAATTGGATATCGAATACTAGAGACTCGAAGTCCACCAGTGGGTATGTCTTTACTCTTGGTGGGGCGGTTGTATCTTGGAAATCTTCCAAACAGACTTGCATTGCTAGGTCTACTATGGAATCAGAATTCATAGCTTTAGACAAAGCTGGGAAAGAAGCAGAATGCCTTCGCCACTTCCTTGAAGATATTCCAATTTGGCCAAAACCGGTGCCTGCTATATGCATACATTGCGATAGTCAATCAGCTATAGGTAGAGCACAGAGTTATATGTATAACGGTAAGTTACGACAAATTCGTCGTCGACATAATACCGTGAGACAACTACTCTCTAATGGAATTATTTCCATTGATTATGTGAAGTCTAAAGACAACATAACGGATCCATTAACCAAAGGGTTAGCAAGAGAGCTAGTTGAGAATTCATCGAGAGAAATGGGACAAAAGCCTATTAAATAAGAGTTACCACAACGGCAACCCAACCTAGTTGACTGGAGATCCCAAGATCTAGGTTCAAAGGGACAACCGAGTTGTGTATGACTCAGAAGGATCACTGGGGAGTCCAACTCCTACCCATTTCTATGATGAAATAAGTGATGTCTGTAGAGTTTTAGGTTAAGTAAAACTTTTAATGATTCTTATATCTAGGTAAACCTAGTGGAATATAGCAGGATACTCTTCATAAGAATCACCTATGTGAGTGTGAACTGGGCCGGTTCTATGAGATTTGTTAAGGGCTACAATTCTCTAGAGCACTCATGAAAGATCAGGTTGTTCAGGGCCAAAATGAACACAATAGTGAGAACTAAACTGTGTCTGGAGATATACTATGTGAGTTCTATTGTCTTGGTTTACACAAACGACTAAACAGTTCAAGACATCATGTTCACTGGTTAGCTAGTAAATCCGATAGTGTCTCACAATGAAAGGTTTAAAGCCAAACGCTACCTATCCTTTGCAGAATATTTCCAATTTCTGTACTCTCTGATATTAGATCATGTTGTTGTATTTTCTCTTCGTCAAATTCCATTCATGTGGGGGATTGTTGGAAAAATGGTTTATGTAGGCATATTTTGGGCCAACTTTGAGCCCAAAATTGAGTGGTCCCCGAACGTATTTTGGGGCGGGTCCGAAGAGGTGAAGTGTTCCTTGCCGCGTGACAAGTCACACGGTGAAAACGGAACGTCAAAACCATTTTATGAGTGAATGGGAAGTTAACGTTGTTTTCGGGTTCGTGGAATAGGAAATTTAAGGACGTAAATGTGGGTTTCTTTGGAAAGGGTTGTCCCACATTGAAACTTTAAGAGAGTTTTATTAAGTTTATAAGCTCTAGCCTACAATACTTGGGTTGGGCCCCAAGGGGCACCCCAAGTTTGTAGAAGGGAGGAGTTATAGACAAAGTGAACCTTAACCCAAACCACCACACACGCGAGCGCGCGCGCGGCGCCGCCGTCCGTCCGGTCGAGCCAGGCACGGGTGTGGGTTGTGGGTCGGGTCGGTTCTAATATTAATTTTTTAGACAAAATTTATTTGAATCTTTTCCAAAATTTCTTGCGGGAAAAATTAATTTTTGTAATTCGAATTTGAATTTGAATTCAAAATTCTTGTCCAAATGTTGTGTCATCTTCAGTCCGAATTTCCTGCAATTACATCGAACTGATTTAATCAGTTTCAGTTTTGTTAGACAGTCCAAACAGGTCTTAATCTGTTGAACCACCGAACAGATTCAATTATAAAATTGTCCAGGCAGTTTTTCAGCAATCTGTCCAGATTTGTTTGATTTTCAAAACAGTATCTGTTGACAAGTTTTGTACCTGTTCACTACATGTTTTGCACCTGTTCGGGACAACACTTGTGTACCTATAAATACCAACATTTCCAGCAGTCTAAGAGATCTGAAAATTAGTCTGAAAAGTCCATTTTCCTTGATATCCAGATTATATCTGTTTGCATTCATTTTAATCTTCATTCTAGTTTTAGAAATAAATTTTCAGAGAGTAAGAACACAGGTTTGTTTCGCCGAACAATTTGTTTTGGAGTGCTATTACAAATTGGTTAAGATCATTGTATCATGGGAGATAGACGCCACTCAACCGTAAGCACAGTAGCGGAGCGAATCTGTCTTAAAGACAGAGTGTCACACACTCGACTTGGTCTTTTATTTTTTAATTCGGTTTGATAAATAAATTCGGTATGTTATTTATTTATTTTGTTTGAAGTAATTTCAATTTATTTTATTTACACAGATTGTTGTTCCAACAAAAGATTGATCTAAATCTCATACCTGACAATTGAATAAAATTTTGTGAAGTACTCGGATAAATTTTTCTTTTTTTTGGGATAAATAAGCAAATCTCATTGAAAAAGTATCAATATGATGCAAAGAATACAAAACCAACTTAAAGACTAGCTAGCAAAACACATATTCAAGAGCAAAGCAAAACAGCTAAACACAAGTATATCAAAACAACTACTGAATCAAGTCCTCTACAAAGTCAACAAAAGTCAGCACATCCGGGTCAACTGATAACAATACCCAACTACGCAGCACAGTACCATGCCACTGAACGCATCTCTCATAAATTGTACAAGTATTCGCACAACACATTTGGCAAGAGATTGGTGCAAGTTTCCTCTACAATCTGAAACGTTAAAGTGAAATAGTATTAACTTCTATCATATCTAGGAGCACCATCAGTAATGGGCACACAGACCAGAAACCTACAAGGAACAGTATTTTCCTAAATGCGTCTGTTACCTCAGCAAACTGGAGCAAATGAAGCCCTAACACATGCTCATCTGGATGGCCCAGAACTATCGTCCCCGTCTGTCTCAAACAAACATATATGAGAAACCAGGGGTAAAGAGAGAAAGAGGGTTCAAACAGGAGGGGCGGTTGAATGCAACAAAACATCAACAGTGACTGTCACTGGCATCATGGCCCATTGGTACAGAACTGCCAAAAGCCAAGTTTAGTTGCAAGCTCAACATAATAAAGGTCGAGTGGGAGCGTAGCAAATAGGCCTAAAATTAAGGTTGTGTTTGGATCTTAGATTTGAATAGTGGCTTGTGAACGGGAAAGGAAAGGGAAAAGTGAATGAAACACTTCCTTCACTTTTCTATTTCCTTTTCCTTTTCCTTTTCCTCTACAAACCCCTCCTCAAATTCAAGAACCAACCACAGCTTAAGGGTACCAAAACTAGTGAAATGTTCATTTGATCAAACAAGTGTGGCACAAGAACAAAATAGCTTAAAATCATTTTATACAAAGAAGT